TATCGATAAAAAAAATATTTGAAATACTTAGCTTGTAAAGAAATAAAATTAAAAATGTAGCCAAATGCGATGATATTAAGGTGCCTACTTAGTATCATTTTCATCTATATTTTAATTGAAATTCATGCAGTAGTACGTTGCTCTGATTATAGATTAACGTTATTAAAGTTTTTGGAATTAATCAAATCCTTTTTTGAGTTGGTAAAATCATCAAATGTCTCCTCTCGCTCTGGTTGCCCACCCGGGAGAGAAAGCGTTAGTCCCGAGTTCGATTCCTGCAAGGAACAACTTTTTATGTTATCCACAAATTGTTGTTACGGGTGTGATGTGTATGTAAAATTTAGTTTGTGAGAAAATCATAGAGTGGAGTAACGTTTAAAAAAAAGAATATTAATAGTTCTATTTTACGCACAGAAATATGACGTCATTGTCTAAAACTTACCGGAGGCCCAATCCTTCCCCTCCCCCAATCGTGTCCATGGGCGGCGCTGATTACTTATCATCAGGTAATCCGTATGCTCGTTTGCCGATCTATAACATAAAAAAACTGTATGCAGTCCTGTACGTATAAAAATATCTATCTACATAGTTAAACCATGAAACACCACATAACTAAACAATAAAAATGAACACACTTCCTAGACGGACATGAACCCTTAGGAATGTAATTACCTACCTAATGAATAACCCGATAATAATTTCAAGTACAATATGGAGCTAACATTTTCCCTTATCAGTTATCACGTATTGTACAAAAATTGTCACTATCACTACGGGTCGGCAACAATAGTGGTCTTTATTAGTCATTGCTAATCACCGGAAGGCTATCACCGCCAACAGGATCTTGACAATTAGTTCAGGAAGTCAGTGGCTATGACTAATCCGTCGAGTGCCTAGGGGACTATCTGCCTGATAATACTGTGTGCCTATGACCTAATAAACAACCTTGGTATGTCATTTTATATTAAAGAGGGCGTATAAAATACATACAAATCTATACTAATATTTTAAGATTTGTAAGTTTGTATGTAGGGGGTAATCTCAGGAACAGCAGGACGGATTGTCAAAATTCTTTCACTGCTAGATAGCTACAATGTTCCTGATTGCTATAGGCTATAAAACATCACACTAGGATCAAATAGAGCCGCGGGTGAAACCGCATGAGAGTAGCTAGTTTTATTATAATTCAGTTTTTTAGATAACGTCGATTAGGTATGTAGGTACCTAATATCGATTAATAATAATAATACTTATTATTATGTGATGTCCCATCACATTTAGATTAAAACTGTTCAAAGGGTCTCTGCGAGTTGGCTTCGGCCCCTCGTACGCCTTCCAAAGGTCCGGGATCCTATGATCCCGTGAACGGAAACGAACATACAATAATACAGGGCACCTTGAGGCGAGGTGACGGGAATTAGCGATCCCGCGGGCTACCATCATCCTGATTGCTCCAGGGAGGAGTCACCGTTCCTTATCTCCGGCTTGCCTTCATTGGCTGGTCGGAGTGAACGATGACGAGGAACAGGTCTCCCACCTCTGGCTTGCCTTCACTGGCCGTCCAGAGTGGAGTCGCGAGAGTAGTGATCCTGCTCGGAGGGTGGAAGCTGTTCGTAAGCGGCGAGTGGGCCAGTGATGCAGGATGCTTAGGCAGATGCAGATGATCTGAGTAGAAAGCTGGTGGCAGTTTCTTCACCCTTCAGCCACTCACATTTCCGTTGTCCCTCTGTTGCTATTACTAGTAACCATTCCCGGGGGCCCGGTCATTGAGTTGGCGAGTCTCCACCTGCCATTTTTACATGTATTCATTACATTGTTTCGGCAGGTGCCATAGTCCTCCCATAGTTCCCATCATACCAGTCCATAACAACCCACGCCCATAGCCTTATCCCTTGTTTCCATTATCCGCAATAGTCCTACACTAACCGGGGACTGTCCTTGGGTGTATTTTCATAGTGCATACAGGGATAGTCGCCGGTTTGTGTCCCATTTCAATTAGATTAAAGTTGTCTAAAGGGCCTCTGCGCAGTTGGCTCCGGCCCCTCGTACGCCTTCCAAATGACCGGGACCCTGTGGTCCCGTGATTGGTAAAGACATACTTATAAATTATGTAAATACTTACCTGATTTAATTTTCACATTCGTTTTAGATAAAAAAACATGCCAAGTTTGTTTACCTACATATAGTTAATAATGTAAATCGATAGATAGCGTGTTTAATCAATAGAACAGTTATCTACCACATTTAGCCCTTTGATTGGTTGGCGAATTGGAGCCAGAGAACCCACTTGGAGCAGGCCAATCAGAGTGTGCCATAACCAAATCGATCGCCAACACGTTGACACTACGCACACTGATGTGTCGAATATGTGCGAGAACTGAGTTGTAGATATTGATTACGCAAGGAACACCTACCCAACTAGAAATAATAATTACTATGAAAATGGCTAAGTAAGGTATCTGTCGTGGGTACTTACGTCACAAATATAGTTTTCCGAGTCTTAAGTAAAATCGATACATTTTAAGTAAATAACGCCACTGACAAAACAAATCTGACAATGAAGGTATCCACTAACTTTTTTTTAAATAAGTAGGTCTGCAAACGAGCCCACGGTTTACCTGATGACACCCACAATATTAAAGGAGTTACGAGTGCGCTGTCGGCCTTTTGGATTAGGGTTTCGGATATTATAATATATAATTTTAATGAATTAATGCTTGATTTGCTATATAGGTTATACCTACATAGTGATGGTGACGACAATTTCAAAGTTTCACTATATCCGACATTAAGGATTAGGAAAAGATAGGGGGGTATGGGAAATATTGGGCCTCCTGAAAACTCACTCACTTGGCGAAACAGAACGGTGTGGTTCTTTCACGCCGGCTTTCTGTTGGGCCGTGGTCTCACTCCGGACGAGCCGACTCATTCGTGCCGCAGCTTGCCTTTCCCACGTTTAAGCGTGGAATTACATGATTTAATTATTTAAAATTATTTATAACAAAAATATTGCAATACGTAATGTATTATTAACTAATAAGTAGGTACTTACTTAATAGTAAATTACACATTATTATCGCATGCTAATAACATATTACCTAGTATATTTTTTATCAGCTTGTGACTCTGAGTCACTGACGGTTTTTATCGATCCTAAAATTCTATCCATGTCTTACCCTAACTAATCTTTCGATCCCAGTAAGATTCCTAGAGTACGCCATGTCGTAAAGTCGAATCAAACTCGATACATTAAGAACTATCGGAACAGAATAAGAATATTTTCGGGAACAACCCTCCAGGATTAATAATTTCAAATAAAAACTTATTGTGGTGAGTTACTACCCGAGCGAATAAAGTGTGCACTCGGTGAAGTGACGTCACTCAGTCGGTACGATTTTTCTCCCAAAAATATTCATCATCATCATCATCAGCCTATAAGTGCCCACTGCTGAGCAAAGGCCTCTTTTCATACGGAGAAGGTTAGAGCATTAATCACCACGCTTGCTCAATGCGGGTTGGCGATTTCAAACTCATAATTAGAAATTATAAGTCCAAGGTTTCCTCACGATGTTTACCTTCACCGTATGTTAGTGGTGTCTAAATAATCATAGAAAGTACATATACCTCGGAAAAAGTCACATTGGTACTTGCCAGGTTTCGAACCCACACCCTCATGCATGAGAAGCATCCTTAACCTCCGGGCCACCACCACCCAAAAATATTATTAATCTTTATCGATTTTAAGTGCTTTTTAATAGCTGTTTCTATTGTTTTGCTTTTTTGTCGTAGTGATATTCATAATACCTACTTACATATAATTCTTATTAAAGAGAAAGTGGGCGAATTCCAGTAAGGTGCACAGTTGATTCGTACGGCTAGTACATACCTACGTTCTGATTACCTAAACCTTTTCCGTGTGAAAAGAGGTCTATGCATAGCATTAAGCACCTACAGGTAGATGATGTGATGTGACGTGACGAAGTTCCCACGCTAATAAGTTAGTGGAATGTAAGGATTATAGTCCATGTTTCGAATAATGTGCAAACTGTGGCACTGAATATGTGAGACAAAGTTTCATTCTCATTCCATAAAATACCTAATACCTAGTAATATTATTTTTCAACTTTGTAGTAGGTATTAGTGTTTGTAAGTGTGCTTTGATATTGTTGTAGTACATTATGTAGGTGCGGTACTACATTATATGATACCTATGATGTGACGTATACTTTGACGGTAGGCAACCTTCGCATCGGGTCAAAATACACTTTATAGTCGTCGTCGTCGTCGTCATCGTCGTCGAGTTACCGATGCGATATAATAATGTTATTTATATCTAAGTATATCCAAAGGTACCTATATCGTTTTACTATGACTTGATCTTTGTAGAACCGACGGCACTTTTTAAGTAGGTACCTAATCTTTTTGTTTATAACTTACTAATGGCTTAAGAATTTCAGGGAGATGAATTTTAGGAAGAACGAAGAAAGTATTAATATAATTATTTTTAACAATTTTTGCCCCATAATTGTAACACAACTCACCAGCCCAAAAGTACATAAATGAGAACGTATCTTATGTTATTTTCGAAACTTTTATGTTCTTATCTTTAAAGTTTAAACTTTCTAATGTGATAGCGCCCCAGCGCGATAACCATCGCACTGCCCTTGGATAGTCCCTGCTGATTCTAAACACGTAATACCACAGCCTGCCAGAAAATCGATGCAAAACAATGCGCTTTCAGTGTGTGATAATAAAATTCATTAGCTTCATTGAATTTAATTTTTTCCCGCATTTTAGATGGGTAATTTTCTTGTTCTAACTGGCAACCCTTTTTATAACGTTGTTATTTGACGATCCGAAAATTAGAGCAATGTGGTATTTTTAACTTGTAATTCGATCATCTTAAAATAGATATTTATAAAAAATAATATTATATTTTTTATAATTATTATCATGCAGATGTTACTTTAGTAATTTTCTTTTATTTTGTGGTGGTAGTATTTGGTTCGAAAGGTAAGGTAACACCGAAAACAATGTCAAAATAACAAATTTCTACCCCAGGGCTTCTCTTAAATAAACCGTAAATCTAATAAAATCAATTGTATTTCGCTTGCAAATATGATTTAAACACTTGGTTTAGAGTGCTTTACAGTCTTTAACAATGCATAACGGAAGATAGCTTTGGTGTATACGATGCATCGGTGCAGCTTGATGTCCTGACAGGTAGACGAAAAAGGGAAACAAAGCGTAATATTTGTGTTAAGCGCGATAGGATCGGTTGAAAGATAATGTATTCCAAGTCTTACGAGACCACCAAGGACTCGTTCCTGGAGCAGGCGAAGGCAGCTCGCGAGGAGCGTGCCTTCGAGAAGAAACGAGAGCAGTCTGCTACCAGGATCCAAGCGGTCGTCAGAGGATGGCTTGAAAGGAAAAAATTCGTCATAAGAATACTGTAAGATTTCTATTTAAATAAAATCTCTCATTATTTTAATCAAGTAAAATATTCATACATTTCTTTACAGTATTAAAATATAAACACAAGTGTTCTCAAATGAACAATTTATTCATTTGTAATACCTTTAACTTCTTTATAGGAACGATTTCGATGGGCTGCTTCCTGAGTCAACAAGCCATGGCTCACAGGAAGAGCCCCCTCAGCCAGTTGAACTGATTCCAGCATTAGAAGTTTACCGTGTGACATGCAGACTGTTTCTTGTGTTCAAACAACAGAGAGACCGGAAGAGATTTGAAAACCTCTGCAAGTATATTGTTCAGAGCTTACACTCCGAGTCTGTGAAACTGTCCTATGTTGGTGTCTTCCTGAATAAAGAATACAGGTATGTTTATTTACATTCAGTCTTATTGTCCTAATATGGATCCTGTCTGGAGTCCTGATGATAAAAAGTTATCAATATAAATTGGTTTTATGCTTTATAGCAGTCTTCAATAATTACTTATAAAGCCAATAAGATTAGATTATAATCTAAGTAAATTAAAAGTGTAATTTAAAATAATAATGTGAGTTTGAAAAAACTCGAACTTTCTACTGAATAAATTAATACACACTTTATTTATATACAAGTATTGCAGAAAAGAGAGTAATAAGAACAATATAAATTAAAAAAAATATTCAATTTACATCTTCAATGCCATAAATATATTGTATTGTTATTGTTTAAAGCCAGCTGGGGAAGGCTCCTCACCTGTCTTTTAATCTTCCTGTTGGATTTAAAAAAAATTTCTCAACAATGACAAAGATACATAAAAGAAACTCAATATAATGTAGGAATTCAACAGTTAATATGAAAGTTCAAAGACTGGTGGTAAATTTTTATGTTTATAGATGAATGTTCTTTTTTTTGTTACTATTTGACCCATCATTTAATACATCAGATAACATGATAACTAATTTTAATTAATAAAACATCAATAAATGATTATGTACATACCTCTGCCATAAACACTTTCTGTAAATACATCAAGTCTTACTTAACTACTAACTAACTAAGTGATTTGTTATTACAACTTCCCATTCATTGCTTATTCTAAGCATATACCTTCTTTATATAATGTGCACTTTCATATTCATTCAAGTGATACAGCAGTTTAGCAAATATAAATTATAAAAAAAAATATTGGATTATTTAAATTATTAATTGGTAGCTAAGTAATGTTTGTTTTATTTATTTTAAGTAAAAAAAACATGAACATTACTAAAAGAATTGCTACAAGAAGCTAATTAATTTGGGAGCCTTATATTTAGAATGTTGACGATAATTCATTTATTCTACATTGTAGTACAGAGTTATAAGAATCTTTAAATGATAACAAAATTAATACAATTTACGAAATGACAATCTTCAAAGAAGTAACATACAAACAGATATATGAAGTGTGGGAAACCCAGCTCATCCAAGTAGGTTGTGTTTCACCCTGTGAATTACCGGATTAAAACATACATCCTGCCATCCATCCCCAGAAACTAATTTTAAATTAAGCATGACACTTCATGTTCAGTGTAATTAGATAAAATAGACTTGTTTACAGATTCATGTAACAATTTATTAGAAGTAGTTTCTAATGAATGTGTCTAATAAGAATAACATGTTTACTTGTAAATTGTTCGAGATTGTACACTACTCTAACTGTTACTCAACAGAATCAATGATTCATAACACATCGTAATTTGATTGTTAACATGTAGTTTTCTCACTTTACTATACATATTCTTATACTTAAAATATTACGTGATATACAAGTAAATGTTTATGGCACTAATGGATGCAGATTTTTTTTCTTTATTGACTTGCCCCGGACTTCAATTTTCTGATTTCCCTGTATTGTAGGTTAGTTCATAAAAATTCACATCGCAATTTGCAACACTAATTTGTGGATACATAATATAATACATAAAAAAGCTCTTCCGTGCGGAATTGGAGCCCATTGCTGCCAGTTGTAAAATTTTTTTTTTTTACGAAAGTAATTTGTAATTTAAATACAGCACATATAAAGTCTAAATAAATACATAGAAATAGAGGTATATAAGTATTGCATATTCCTGATTTAACAAAAAGAAATTAGGGCAAAAAGTTCAACCAAACTCAGTAATAGTTTGTATGTTGAGATTCTTGTCCCTACTCCATAGTTACGACTTAGAACAAATTGTAAGTTCAGTCAAGAAATAATCAATTCAAGCAAAACTTAAGTTGCATTCTTTCATACTTATTTCCAGTCTCCGATGGATAGCTCACATCAAGGATCTCCTCTACAAATGCTGCCAATATCTAGAGGAGCTGAAGCCAGAATCCCCAATAGATATGCAGAGCATCCTCATCCACCTTCACACCCTAGTAGCATTCACTGCTAACAATACCTGGGCTCTCACTCGGCTGAAGAATTTTGAGAAACTCAGGGGCGGGATGACTCAGTTGTGTGCTAATGTAATGGGGTCCCTCTTCCATAGGGGATACTATTTAACTCTAAAGGTAAGTGGACAAGTGTGATTTTTTTTACACAGTAATACCTTCTTGTAAATGGATATTCAGAAGAATGCTTCCGACAATATAGGATTTAGGATTAAAATATAGGTATCGTAATCAATTTCAATACATTTAAGTACGTGAAAATCGGCGTTTTTCTGTAGGATTATATTTTGTGACGTCATGTGTTTTTTGCATAAAAGTCTTTTATTTATTTGTTGTTTCTTAAAAGTTTACTGCCAAACAAGAAAATTAATTATGTTTATGTTAAAATAAATTTATGAAAGCATTCTTAATGTACTTACTTATTTTATTACCTTGTTTTTTAATTGAAGCATTGTAGAATTGCACCAATCGAAAAAAATCTAAAAGAGTTTCTATTCTAAAATATAGTGTTATAACCATAGACCCCAATTATTATAAGCATCAGTGTCAACCTATTTTTGTAATTCCCAGCTCAATCAAGTGTAATCTACTAATGGTACAGTGTCACTTACCCTTAATTGCATAATTTGCATGACACACAAAATGTCCATTAATCAAACATGATGCAAGCATGTTCATTCTTTTTACCATTTGACACTGTTAAATATTACTGCATAGTATAAAGTAAAGTTGTTTTCTTGTAGTACGTATGTACCCTTAAATCTTTCAAACTACGCAACGGATTTTGATGCGGTTTTTTTACTAGATAGAGTGATAAAAGAGGAAGGTTTATTCTTATAATAGACATCCATTATACAGTAGAAAAATTAAGTATGAATTTTTCACCTAATTAACAAGATTTTATTATTATATTGATATTATATATTTGATTAAAAACAAACCCTTTAATTTGAGCATCATCTATTTGCCATAATTGTAATTCTACCACAAAGTTTTCTTCGTGTCTTTTATTGTTTATTAACCAAACAAATTGCAACTCTATGTCATTGAAAATAATATACAAAATGGCAAGGTTATACACTTATCAATAAGCCTTGTGGATAGTAAACATACTTATTTATAATAACATTCAGTATCATGTTACAAGTTATAAGAAAAGAGGTTTTATTGAGCTCCAATTGTTTACGGATATAAATGGCGCTTACATAATATGTATCATGTTATTAAATATCCAATGTCGTTAATTACTAATTAATCATTATAAATGTAATCACTTAAGTAATTAGTTATCTTGAACCTTGTCCATTAAGGTCTTTTACCAGCTTATATTGATACTTAATTTGTAACTTGTGATGTGGGATTGAAATGGATTTTGAAATTATTATATACATTTAATATATTTGTATTGTTTCCCATAGCTAATTTATTTGTAAATATTTTTTAATGAAATAGTTCGGCAAACGAGCACACTTCGGAATAAGGGTTTCGGATATTTAAGGATTGGGAAGGGATAGGGGTAGGGGAAGTATTGGGCCTCTGGTAACCTGTCTCACACAACGCTGTAGCGGTTTTCTGTGAGGCCCTGGTATCACTCCAGTCGAGCCCATCTATTAGGGTGGCGAAGATTGACTCTTATTATTATTATATACTTGAACACACTAGCAGCTTAGAAAGCTGATGCGTGCGTATTAATGGATTTGGAGATTTTGTCGTGTCTGTTTTTAAAAGAATTAACTGTGGGTGCTTTTATCACATTTTCTGGGAGTTTATTCTCTCCCACACTTTTTGTGATTGTGTGAAATTGTATGTTTATCCACACAAAAGCACCTGCGACACAGAAGAAAATCATAGCGTGAAGTAACATATAAAAAAATGTCTTACTCATCTTTAAATGCGAAAGTTACGATGTTTGGATGTTTGTTACTCAATCACGCCAAAACGGCTAGACGGATCTGGATGAAATTTGGCACAGGCATAGGATACACTCCGGAATAGGACATAGGCAATTTTTTATCAACTTACCACGTGGTCGAAGCCTCGGACGGAAGCTAGTATCTCGATATATCCATCTTCAAATATATAAGTATATTAATATAATAATTCCTATCTTTCAATTTCAGTCACTACTACTCCGTGGGCTATGTCGCGAGAAGGTATACCTGAAGAATATATCCCTGACTGCGATAGTGACGCTCTCTCTGCGCCCCCTGGTGTCTGCCCAGTTCTCGGAGAAACTGCTTACCATGTACATCATACAGATACTGTCTGTACCCACCCTTGTTTACCATATGCAGCTTATATCGCCTGAGGTGAGTACTACGCTTTACATAAAAAGTTTTTATAAACAAGTAATTCCAAAAGAGGTCTTTATAGGGTGACTGGTACACTTGACCGGTTTCTGAAAGGCTAAAATTAACTAATCTTCTGTTAAATCTCTTGTCAAGTCATTTGATTGGTTGTTGCAGATGACTTGACAAGAGACTAAATTGATTTTAACATTGATCGGCCTTTCGGAAACTGGGGGTTAGTGATCTATAGTTAAACACGTGATTGTAGACACTATAGATATCAAACAAATCACCCATTTTTTTTGTAAGCCCTATATAATATGTACTTACTTAAACAGTTCTTTCATAATATTAATGTCGTAAAGAATAACACATTCATGTTTTGCTTATTTAAAAACTACTGAACTAATTTTCTATTTTGGTACTTTTTACACTTAATGACATTAGTAAAAGTAGATGTTAATTAGTTAGCAAGTTAGATACATTTCGACACTTTGAAAACCATTGATGAATGTTGCAAGTAAACCATAAAAAATTACGTTAATGAATATTGATTAGTATCCAATTTAAAGTTTGTTCCACCATAGCCAAACATGTTTTTTTTAAGTTTGCTGACTCATAACATATGAAAAATAATATTCAAAATATACCTGCTGTCCCAGCGAAGTCTGGGTCACTCAAAAAGTATAGGTAATAAGAATGTACTTCTTAAAAAAATAACTAATGTTATGTTCAATCTCTGAGTTCACATTTGGCAGTTTTGTTCTTTCTTTGCCAAATATGCAACTATTTTATATAACATATAAGATAGCTGCGAGGAGAAAAAGAAATCATAAAAATATCTTGCACCATGTAGCCTTCCCTGAACTTAAACAAATATTTGAATCCTAAAATTAACCAAATCGGTTCACCCGTTCTCGATTTTTTTTCGACAGTCTCATGAGCAATTAATTTTATACATGTAAAAGAAAATCCCAATACACGAGTTACACTGTAGCCATCTAAAATAGAAGCTAAACTTTAATATAATATAGCTCTTTAATTGGTTAATTCACAGTCGATGTCGTCGTACCGGTCATACTCGATGTTTGACAAGTGCCTGGAGTTCCTGAGCACGGACCAGAATATGCGCATTGTGTTCAACACGTTGGAGGGGAACTACGCACTCTGCCTACTGGCCAATCTCGTGCAGATGGCGCACTGCGAGCGGGACCATGCACAGCCAGAGACTTACCATCCTACATTTGTGGTAAGTATTCAATTGTTTAATTTTTTGTTGATACCAATTTTTTGCTCAACTCAGTATCGCGCTTGCGCCCGCGTATCCGACTGGACTTCGGCCCTATTGGACCCCATCTGTAGTGGTCTAATGGCTTACACATTGGCCGCCGATCGCTTCCCTGACGACAAAGCGGGGCTCAGCCTAAGCACGGCACATCGCTGCTCTACCGTTTTTCCCGGGTCGTCCTCGCCGTAACGACACCCGGACGTTTCCTCCGGCTAGAGCCGGAACATGAATTAAAATATCGCTTTCTAATTTGGACAGTAGGGATTCCAGTTTTTTCTGGGAGTTAAGGATAATTTTTTAGATGTCTTTATACCAAAGACTATAGGGTACTATAGGGTGTTCTATCAAAGGCATTTGCTTCAGACACGCAAAATAAAGTTACTTTTTCCTGCATTAAATTACTTAGGTAGTTACCGTTTCGTGGTTTTAGCAAAGATATGTGATACTAATACAAAAATGTTTGCAGTTGGTGGTAACACGCTTCCTGGACTCCTGTCAACAATATGTGGTTTGCAAGAAGGGCAACTTGAGCAACTGGCACCCTATCCTCGGTTGGTTCTCTCAGGGTTTGGACAACTTCCTGCCCCCAGCTATGGGGAACTTGAGAAACCAACTGTCCTTGTTATGGGGAGCTCCTTTACTGAAGAAGCTGTTGGCTACTCCTTTGAAGGACATGATGGATGCTGGAGTGACTGGTGAAGAGGGAGCGGGACCCTCACAGCCTTCCACTCCGATACAGAGTAACAATCCTGCTGCTATCATTAGAAGAGCTATCGAGGCTAGAACTAATAGGTAAGTTAAGCGTCGGATGTAAATAGTTTTTGTTCTTCTGCTTCTTGATGTCTTGCGGAAATCAATGCTTTTCACCAAAGTAAAGTTTTCCTTAGTCGCGTTACGTAATATTTTACTACATCACCTAAGTATTAGACTTTATAACTGGCAAAATATTACGTATAAGACCTTTCAATCATAGTAATTCGAAAGACAATAGAATAACAATAGGAGCGTGAACACTGGCGTTCGATTTGGCTTTGAAGAAAAATAATCGTGCCTATGCTTGCCAAATGAATAAATAGACTACCGTTTTATTTTCAGGTCTAACGCAAACAAACACTATAGGAAGTTAGGGTCGCCGGACTGCACGAAGACGGCTCTCATATGTTCCATGTACCACACGGCGCTGCAGACTATGACACAGGTCAAACTTGACATACTTACAGGTCAGTTATTAAATACTTCGCCTTTTATTATTTATAACACAATGTGAATCTATAAATAATTGAAAAAAGGTATGCTTTTATTTAGAAATCTTATGCATTTTTATGATACTCTGACCCTAATGTAATAACGAGCTCCGAAATGATTCGAAATCTATACTAATATTATAAAAAGGTAAAATTTGTAAGTTTGTATGTAGGGGGTAATCTTTGGAACCACTTTAAACTCCGAAAACCGGCTTTAAGCAATGCTTGCCTTTTTGTTTCGCTGTTGAGTGTAGGTAGAGTACCAGGGGCCCAAACCTTATCCTAAAGTCTCCCAATTCTCAAAAAGACAAATCAAAAAAACAAAAAACATTTATTCCAATTACACCCTTATAGGCACTTTTGAACGTCAAAGGTAAAGTCTCAAATCCCCAATCCCAAAAGGCCAGCGTATGGATGAGGCCTATGTATGATTGCTTACCTTCAGACGTTCAGACGTTCTCTTCGTTCAGACGATACAACGACGACGACGACGATACAACTTCGATAGCCCGTTAGACTAACTATGTAAATTAATACAATAAAACAGTTTCAATTTTGTCTATTTCAATAGCTCGAAAAATAATACTTTATTTCTCTTTTCAGGGTTATGTAATCAAGATGAAATATTGTATTCGTTATGGCAATTTTTGTGTACGCTGGGACCAAACTGTGGGCTAAAATCGTTCCTAGATCTCTTGGCTGTTAACACTAAGACTTCTGCGCCGGAGTTCCAGATGTTGATACTCTTCGCAGATTGCATGACGCATTATGTTACGTAAGTACCAACATTTTTTTTTATGTAATTGGTCGGCAAACGAGCAGACGGATTACCTGATGGTAAGCAATAAGCGCCGCCCATGGACAGCCGCAACGGAGGAGTTACGAGTGCGTTGCCGACCTTGTAGGGATTAAGGATTTGGAGATTTAGGGATTGAGGAGGGATTGGGGGCGGGGAAGGATTGGGCCTCCGGTAACCTCACTCACACGTCGAAACACAACGCTGTGGTTGTTTCACGTCGGTATTCTGTGAGACCGTGGTATCACTCCGAATGGGTCGAGCCGACCCATTCGTGCCGAAGCATGGCTCTCCCACACTTAAAGGATAGAGAAGATTTTAAGGTCTATCTAGTGACTGCAAATGGTCAGTGTATGATATAATCACGCTTATTATTCTCCTAAATGGTAGACAAAAGTACAGCGACGACGGGCTACACTTGTAGTCTAGTCAAAAACATTTAATTTAACTAACCATATAAAAATACTTTTGAAACACCTTAAAGAAATAAATAAGGCGACATTCTGTCCATCTGGGAAGCTAGGTGCTTGTTCCGAAATGTAGATTCAATTGGAAAAGAACGAAAAACTATTAATTCATCATAAAACGAACAATAAACTACATTGTTTAACCTTTTAACCGCATGATTTCAAAACAGTTGGCGTGCCCCAAGCGAACACAGTGAATCGAAAAATAAAAACCTACAAGAAAGAGGGATGTGCGATACTTAACTTTGCGATGTCGATATTTCGTTTTAATAACGACATTGCATTTGCGACCATGGTTAACCTTTTAAGCGCCCGACTTCAGAACAGTTGGCGTGTCCCTAGCGCCTGGCACAGTGAATCGAAAATTAAATACCTAAAAGAAAGGGGGATGTGCAATACTTAACTTTATATTTCGTTTTAATAACGACATTGCATTTGCGAGCATTTTTAACTAACAACTACTTACATCTCACCAAGCTATATTTGCACCTCACGTCGTTTACGTCGCACTGACATTTAGGTACCTACGGGCTGCAACAAAGGATTCGCTATGACGAAAAGTAAACAAATGTTTTTTAGTTAAATTCGCTTTTTTATTACGTACCTTTTTTCCCTATTTTTTTCTGGTTATTCCGAAGTGAACATGTCCAAGAGCAACTTAAATTATTATGTTGTTACAAGTGTTGTATTTGTAAGATAATTTAGTGCTAGCTGAATTTGAATGCATGTTCTGTTAAATCTAGCTTCAGAATAAAAATGTAAACCTGAATTATTTTCAAAACGAAATTGTTTTGACAGCTAATATAACCCCAAATAATATTAAAGCGAGTTATTTTTTTTTGGAAAAACCCCGCAATATATCAATTTGTTTTTAACTTAGCTTTATTTTTCAAATTCAAAATGTCTTGTGTTAATGTATCCTTTCTATCACGTACATTTATCGACATACTAACGTAAAACTTCATGCAAAAACACAACACTATTAAGCCGTATGCACTCGTTTATGACGTAAGAAGGGGTCGTGTTTATCCGACCGTAGCGCAGGGCGTACTAACAAAGTAAGTTTCGGAACATGTAGGCTAGAGATGGGAACCATCAATTCAATCGCTGACATTTCATTAGTAATTTTACTTAATTTTATAGGAATTAAATGAAATTCTCCCAAATATTTGTAAAAAAATGTTTAATTAACAATTGCTGTGTTCGTTTTAAAGTTTACTAGTCAGTATAACGAGACATATTTAAATTTATGTTTATTTTTGTATCGGTAAATTTTGGCATGTGTCCCGGCCCTCAAGTCGGATTTTGTCAACATGGGCGTTGCACATCAATACAATTTTCGAAAAATAATGTTAGTTATTTATCTAACTTTAGACATTATTTTTAGGACTTTTAATTAAGAGACTAAAGTGTATTAAACTGTAAATGATTACTTAGTTAACCATTTACCTAATATAAACACATTTTTGATAGAATACAGCGTATTTATATAATAGAGCTGATTAAACGAGCAGTGATATTTTGGTCGTAAATATACGACTCTGGCGAAATGGGCCCGAAAATATTTGTCGGATTAATCCGACGCAGGCGGTTAAACGGTTAACTTAAAAAAAATATTTAACAATCTGATTGATCCTTTATTTAATATAATTTAACTTTGTGAATGCAAATATTATGATGATATGTTGTCACCAAAATACCAAAAGTTTTGTGTACCTTTTGATGGTTTTTATAAACCTTTCTTATCTACTGCTTTGTTCCCAGGATATTGGATGACATGGAGATGTACGAGCAGCAGAATCCATTCAAGTTACAAGACTTCATCAACATGTCGCAGTTCCTCAACATGTTCGTCTACAAATCCATTATGGGACAGTTGTTTGGTAAGCTCTCTTGTACTTTAGCCATTAGAATTTATCCATTTAAACAAATAAGATAGATATTTTTGCGTAACGGGCAATGAAGAAGTTAATTTTAGCTATAGTTCAGAGTATTTGGTCATTCTTACACACAATTCGCATATACCGACAACGCAATACAGAATGTAGACGTAAATTCATGTCTTGTAAATAAATCTATAATTATAATTAAGACTTCGAATGGTAACAATGCTGATACCGAATTTCTCCACTATTTAATTGATGTTATTATACAGACAAATGTTCCTCTTTGGTCACTGTAACTAGTAAAAAAAGCCGCTTCATAATCGGTGGTAAAGTTTTACAGATTTAAGCGTACCTATGTACGCTGTCCTTATATCCATAGGGATATAGGGACAGAGAAATCGACTTTGTTTTAGAATGATAATAACTTAATCTTTCTCTTTCTCTCTTTTCACGTGTTTTCCCACAAAAAATGAAAATGTCAATTTGTTAACCTTTTCTTCGATTCTTCAGATCTAAAAACCATCCAAAGCAACGAGCTATTCAGTTCCCTGCATACGCTACTGTTGGTCCTGTACCGGCGCGACTGTCGCCGAGCATACACGCCCGCCAACCACTGGCTTGTCAGGGAGATACGGGAGGGACAGTTCATGGCCGACCTCGAGAAAGGGAAAAAGCCTCAACAAGTAAGTTATTTATTATGGGAGAGAGCGGCAACCAAGCTACTCTTTCACTTGATTGATACTAGAAACGTTCCAAATGCGAGCTCGTCACAACCCATGCTTTCTTCACGCCGGGTTTTTGTCACATCACATATCACAAGCCTATGAGTGCCCACTGCTGAGCAAAGGACCTCCTCATACGGAGAAGGTTTGAGCATTAATCACCACGTTTACTCAAGGCGGATTGGCGATTTCGAAGTTATAATAAGTAAGGCAAAGTTTCCTCCCGATGTTTTCCTTCCGTTTGTCAGTGACGTCTAAATAATCATAGAAAGTACATATAACTTACAAAAAGACACATTGTTACTTGCCAGGTTTCGAACCCTCATTCATGGCCGCGTTAACCTGCGGCCACCACGACATACAACCCTTACCTACGTGAAAAACTCATTGTACTCTTGGAACCATCAGTCTCTCACGTAAAAACTGTAGTTTCAGGTGGCCGTTGGCGATTGGCCAATTACTTACGTATTTATAATTAAAGTTACAAAACTTTTTATGCAGGTACTAGTACAAAAAACACCTCATATGATCGCACATGGTGAACGTGTCAGGTTGTTCAGACGCGCAGTTGCTGACGAAAAGGTAAGAATATGAATCGATGATAGTCATCTTGAAGCGATCACGTCCATTGTATTGAGTGCCTACGACGCTTGAGTAAATCTGAGTGGAAAAGAAGTTAAAGATTAAATTATCAAATATGAAATGAATGACATTGTCCTTTACTGGGGGATGTAGAGGGAATCGAAAGTTATTAACAATAGTTAAACGTCAGTTTTGTTATTGTATGTCGTTACCAAAATTCATAAATTAATAATTAATCCGATTGAAACACAATGATTTTATCAATTTAAATCATACTATTGTTTATTGTTATAAGTAACTAAGATGCTTAACAATTTGTGAAGTAAGTAGACTTGTTAAATGTTAAGGTTGTTGCTCGATGAAACTCCTCTCAGATACTACGTCAACATCACAGTTTTCATTTGTCCCCAAAAATAAAAACCGTGTGTTACCTATTGAGGATGTTATGGATATAAAATTTCGGATACGGATAAAGGAATGATTACTATACGGATATGTAATTATTTCGGATTATCCGTTAGTTTCGGTAACGGATATTAAAATTTTAAGGAATTTCAAAACTAAAATACAAGTATAACGTGTCTCAATTAGGCTCCGCCCCTAACCAATGTTATCCGAAACTTATTTCGGATTCGGTTATGGTTACGGGTATATTTTGTTTATGTCTGATATCTCATAGTTTCGGTTACGATTACGGAGTTCCTTAACATCCCTGTTACTTTAACGAGGTGGTGCTGGGTCTGACGGAGCGCGCTTGCGGCGGACGCTCGACGCTGGTGACGGTGCGTCGCGCGCGCCTCGTGGAGGACGGGTACCGCCAGCTGGCCGCGCTGCCCAGCCGCGCGCTCAAGGGCTGCGTCAGGGTACGCTTCATCAACGAGCAGGGGCTCGACGAGGCGGGCATCGACCAAGATGGAGTTTTTAAAGGTCACTATTATCATTTTCTATTCTGAATTGAGTACCTACATATTTCTTTCGACTGTTAAATTATTCGTTGATGGTGTTTTGTTTTAATTTTTATTATTATCTTATCATTCACTTCGAAAATTACTCCCAAGCTGTTAGATAAAAATTATAACTAAGTACATACTTTAATTCTTTAAACACTTAAAACAATACGGTAGTTTCCAACTAGTCAAATTCAATACTTTTATCCAAACGTCAAAAACGATACTGTTCTATGAAATTTGTATGAAAAATTGCGTTGTGACGTCATAAAACTTTTGCGTCAAATAGCTTACTTATTTCTTAATAATTAGCTAAAAAATATCTAAAACTTAGTGTATCGATCGATCGATAAATAAAAGTATAGTTATTTTTCAATATTTTATTGTGTAGAAACGTCAAATTAATTTATTTTTCACCTAGGAAACTACCCAATTGCACATGTTTGTTTTAATGTTTGATTTCGGAACATCTAAATCGCAGTCGTCACAGTTATAGTTTCATCAGTTTTATCATTCTATCTGTTTTATAGTTTTTTCGTTCGTAACCTATTTAATTATATTCTTAATGTCTAAAATCTGGTAATTTCTTGTTCGTTCTTTTTCATTCAAATCTACAATTTGGAACGAGCACCTAGCTTCACTAACGAACAGACTGACAGACTATTCTTCTATTAACACCCGGTTTCTGAAAGGCTTGTCAACGCTAAAATTAACTAATCTCCTGTTAAATCTCTTGTCAAGTCATCTGATTGGTTGTTGATAATTCAGCCAATCAGATGACAAGAGTTTAAATTGATTTTAATATTGATCGGCCTTTCGGAAGCCGGGTGTAAATGTTTTAAAAGTAACTAAGTACTTGTGGTTTAGTTAGATTTGAATCTGACTTCGTCCCCAAAATAAGTATTTTACCAAAGTTTTAAATTAAAAGTATTTATTTTATAGAATTCCTAGAAGAAACGATAAAGCGTGTATTCGATCCGTCGCTGAATTTGTTCCGCGTGACGAGCGAGGAGCGACTGTATCCCTCTCCCACCTCCTGTCTGCAGGAGAACCACCTCCAGCTGTTCGAGTTCATTGGAAGGATGCTGGGGAAAGCTGTCTATGAGGTCAGTGTCTTTGAATAATATATGTACTGTGAGTTTATGGACTTCACAATGGCAATAGGTCTTTCAATATCTTCTAGTACTCATCAATTGTTGTAACGTTTTTAACGCCTTAGTATCAAATCTTGGCAATATTTGGCCCAAAAGCGTTATTATTTGACTTACCCTGATTTTAGTTTAAAAGTCTTGTATTTTTATTTGTAAGAAAAAAAGCGTCTTTTATCTATAAACTAGTGAATGATAATTCCGAATAACAATCCTCATAGGTGGCACAAATACTCACTTATAATTATATAACATTGTACAAATTATATTATTTGAAAATATTTGTATGTTGAACATTTGTTCGGACAGGGTATTGTGGTGGACGTACCGTTCGCGTCGTTCTTCCTGAGCCAAGTACTGGGGCAGACTCAGCAAGCGCTGTACTCCTGGATCGACGAGCTGCCCTCGCTCGACCGGGACCTCTACCGCAGCCTTACGTACATCAAACACTTCCAGGTACTCTACAATTTATTTTTTTTACTCTTCTGAATTTAGATGTTACTAGCTGATTGGATGTAGATGAACATTACCTTGTTCTTGCCACTGCTTGTAGATTAAATAATACGAATGAAACTCAAAATAATGAAGTTTGTACAGTTACACAGACAGTTCTATACTTTATATCAATACTGAGCTTTTCTTGGTATGAATACACAGTATTGCAATCCGGCACATTTCGGCGTCGTATAGCGGCAACCCTAAAATTGCCTAAATCCGGAAAAGGAGGATCCTTAGCCTATGCGAGGCGTGTCGTGGACTTTATTTCTGCATGAGAACTGTCTTTGTGTGATCCCTAAATTGCTGTTCCGGGTCCGGGTTTTAAATTGTGACTATGGTTTTTTTGAAACAAACTAATAAGTTTTTGCTCTTGTGTTCCTACTAAGTTTTATTTGTAAGGTAAGCACATGTTTGTAGATTTATTAATAAAACTTTTGGTTGCTTACAGGGTGATATATCTTCGTTGGAGCTTACATTTTCAGTGGACGAGGAGAGGCTCGGGGAAATAGTCACTCACGAACTAGTTCCTGGCGGGAAGGCTGTACCCGTCACTAACGAAAACAAGTAAGAAACCTCATACTCTAAAAGGCGGTCTACTCGTAGTAGACGGTCAACTTTATTTTGTCTTATTCAGTCTCACCCCTCAACAGTCATGGTTCCTTCAACTTGTTTCTTTATTCTGTTTAACACATAGAATGCCGTGGCGCGCAATGGTGACCAAAGCTAGCTGAGGATTATTAACCTTTAATAGCTTTTTGTTGGCAGATGAATGCTTAAAAAGTTTCATTTCACAGTCTTGCCAATATGGCGATTTTTCGGCAATAATTGGCGATCAGTTTGGAAAAGATTACCAACTATTTCATTGAATTCATATGAAAGCGTACCTACCGCTTTTGACATGTGGTAGGTTTTGATTTTTATTTCATTTATTTCAGAATAAACTACATTCACTTGATGGCGCACTTTAGAATGCACACGCAAATCAAGGATCAAACTAACGCGTTCATCAAAGGATTCAGAACTATTATCAACCCGGAGTGGTTGTCATTGTTCTCCACACCTGAGGTTAGTGGATACTTGTAGATTAGATGGTATATGTCTGTATCTTTCTTGTTCATGTACGTGATGTACATGAAAAAGTTGAGGGAGACGTTGGATTTACTCGCAATCTTGTTTTAGAAATATCGTCCGTATTGTAACAGAATAATTTAACTTGGCACTGATATTATTGTAAACAATTTAAGATAAATAATAAAAGGAAAGGACGAGAACTTTGGAATTAATAAAATTTTATCAAAAATAGTATGGTTGAAATTATAATACTTAACTATACAGTTGGTTCACGTGATCTGTTTCTGGCTCTACCGGTACAACTTCGGTAGAGCCAGAAAAAGGCACGAAACAGTGACTGTTTTCTGTGGGGCCGTGGTTTCTGTGGGACCACTCCTGGGTTTGCTTTCGAACGAAAAATGCGTCGTGTGAGTGAGATTACCGGAGTCCCAATCTAAAACATATGTTCCCACTTCCTCTATCCTTTAGGGAACGAATTGTATAGTTGCTTAAGATCTGAAAAAGAAGGATCATACTACCAGCTGATTAGACTCGCGGCATACTCCTCAACAATTGTACGTTTGGACTTTCTATCCGTGTTAATTCGCGCCCGAATATTACTTGCGCATCGTCACAAATGCTACATCTGTGGCGGTATCCGTTAACCATTGTTGTCGCTCTCCAATGTGCGTCACAATACTATTATCCTCAAAACCTAATAACCTTCAAAATACTGGCATTGCACGTCCAAGGGTGGCGGCGATTGCATGATTCGTCAGGCCGATCACCGCCCTATTCTGGAAATGAAAAATGCTATCAGTTTTAAGTTGCATCCCCACCGCCATGCAATTTGTAGTAGTTTTTATTAGTTCTTGCGAGAGTCGGCACTTGTTTTCTCACTTGCATAAACGTATATTTACGAGTATTGTTTAAGCCATTCTAGGTAAATGCAAAACAATGATCTTTCAGCCCAAAAAGCCCGAATCCTCATATCCCTATCCCCTACAAGACCGGTAACGCTCTTATCCTATTCTTCAAATTTGCAGTTGTCAATAGGCGGTGCCGATTTTTTTAATAAGTCGGCAAACAAACTGACCTTCTACCTGGTGGTAAGAAATCGGCGCCGCCCATGGACACCCGCAACACCAAAGGAGTTACAAGTGCGCTGTCGGCCTTTTGGGGATCAAGGTTTCGGATATAAGGATTGGGAAGGGATCACTCACACGGCGAAACACAACGCTTTGGTTGTTTTACGCCGGTGTTCTGTGAGACCGTGGTATCAGTCCGGTCGAGCCGACCCATTGGTGCCGAAGTATCTAGACTATCCCTCACTTAAAAATACACGATTGCTTGCTACTGGTGATCTATCTGATTGTATGCCAGCTAAGCGTATAAATAATGGTGGTGTGTGGTGCAGTTACAACGTCTGATCAGCGGAGACAACGTGCCGCTAGACTTGCGCGACCTGCGTCGTCACACGCAGTACTACGGCGGGTTCCACGACTCGCATCGCGTTGTCTGCTGGCTGTGGGACGTCTTGCAGAGGGACTTCTCGGAACATGAACGTGGCATGTTCCTTAAGGTAATGTAGCATCTGAATTACTTTCATCCGCGGTTGTGGGTCTAAGCGCAATGGTTTTTAGTCAGTAATTAGTAGTACTCCTTCTCGCCCCCCATATAGGGAAGGGTAGAACTTTCTAGGGTATCAAAGTAATTCAGACGCTTTGTCTGAATTACTTTGATACCCTAGAAAGTTTTTAAAAAATTACATTATGCATGCAGGCTGTGGTTTACAAAATGATTTGGTTTTTTTAAAATGATTGGGAACGAGCCTATTTTTACCACATCATTACGAGCAATTAAATTGGTTGATTGCCTCTTTTCAAATGTGCGTTGTACAAAATTTGTTTGATTTTGTTTTTCTTATGGTTAACAATCTTGAATAAGTAAGATCCCCTATCTTACTTCAAGCTATCAAGCCACCTTGTGAAATTAAAAGTTTCAACAGACGTGTTCTGCTTATTTGTATTAAACCTAACCTAAGTAATCATTACTACAGACCCCGGCACGTAACTTGGCAAGAGTCGTTAAATGCGCAGAAGTCATATTTTAGATGCCTCTATGAAACAATGAAACAATGAATTTATTTTTGCAAATAGGCCATAAAACGGCACTTTTACACGTCAATTTATATGTCAAAAACTAGATGAAGCCGGCATTTCCTATCTGACTACTCTGAGAAGAAATGCCGAAACAAACTCAGAGGTCAGTCTCTTTTCAAGTCCAGACAATGTAAAAATAACATAATGTGAGAGAATCGTGCAAGTTCATTCTGTAGTGGTCTTTTGAGGAAAGAACCACACCAGTTTAAGTGGACCCGTTCTGAAGACAGGCACGCAAGTGTCAGTTTGCAACCAGTATAGCTAGTGCTGCTGAGTTGTCCGACGAACAATACCGATCTAAAGAACATTTGGGTGGGTCGCGCAAGTACTCAAACTGTCAGAACGCAGATAACTGGTAATCAAAAAGCACGGCAAGTCTCACACGGTCCTTACACTAACAATAATATAAAATAATAACTACACACTACACAACTAAACAATGTTGACGAGAGCTAAAGCAAGAGCTGCATCACAAAGGACACGCCCGCCATCTCCGACCTCGCCGCCCAGCTCCGCCCCACCATCGTCGGCACCGGATCCAGATACCGGGATACGACCGGCGACCGCAGTGGTGTCAAGTTCCAGCGACGAGTTCTTCTCCCCGCCAACGTCGCCACCACCTCCACGTCGCAGGAGAAAACGTCGGCCACCGAGTAGCTTAGGACCACGAGGCCCATCGGCCTCGGGAGGGGTCCCAGCGCCCGGTGGTAGTGTGTCGCGCATGAAATGGACTACATCCATAAATGAAAATGTTATGCGCGCATACTTTGGGGCAACAGAGGGAGGAAATAACCTGACTGCGTACCGTGTCAGAATGCTTGCTCTGTTTCAGGTGCTCGAACCATCCGTCAACGTATCTGCACAACGATTATCGGATCAGGTACGAGTCATCCAGCGGAATCGAATGTTGGAAGATGTCGTACTTGATCGACTGCGAAGTGAAGTACTAAGGAGCCGCGTCATCATTCCGCCATCACAAACTACAGAAGGGTTACAACCAAACTCTACTGATGTGCCGAATGATGATAGGACTACAGAAGTAAGTACTCACATATGCAGTGATGAATTGAGGAGAACTTTGGAGGGTGCGATTCAGGAATATCGACACGCATGTTTGAAACCGCGTTTGCCTCGTTTGCCTATGCATAAAAAGAATAAAGCGATCATGTGCGCTCTGGACTCACAGCTACCAACATATTTGGACAACAGCAAAGATCTCGTTGATACGCACTCAATTCTGTATTGCGCAGCTATAGCGGCTTGTCGTGTGGCAAATGTCAAATTACCAGACAACTACAATAGAGCCACACGACCAAAACCAGCTGTACCTGCTTGGCAGTGCAGGATTGAACGGCGTATTGGCGAGGTCAGAACACTTATTGCCAAATTGATCTGTTTCAGGGAGGGCAACACTCGCCCGAGGATAATGCGATTCGTGAAGAGAGCGTTTTCAGGGACTGCAATTTCGCCTCAGAATTACGCATCGCACATCACGGAGCGTGTTGACTTCCTGAAACAGAAGATTTATGCATGGGCAAACCGCATTCGCAGATATAAAAGACGAGCAGAGCGGTATACCCAGAATCGCGCATTCCAAAGGGATCAAAGGTGGGTGTATAGAAATTGGGAGCAAAAAGAACAGGCTAGGACTGACACGTGCCTACCAGATTTTAGCGCCACGAAGGCATTCTGGCGCAGCATCTGGTCGGCACCTGTTGATCACACCGAGGGTGATTGGATTGAGGAGGTCAAGGGAAAATGCGAACTGATACCACAAATGAACTCTATTAAGATTAGCACCGAAGACGTATCAAATGCAGCCTACCCGTTGGCTAACTGGAAAGCTCCAGGCCCGGACGGGCTGCATAACTTTTGGATTAAATGGTTTATGAGTTCGCATAGTCGCTTGGCGACTCAATTCCAATCAGCATTGGAGTCTGGGTCTTTGCCCCAATTCTTTACAACAGGACTTACCCACCTGCTCCATAAATCTGGTTGTACCACGGAACCTAAAAATTATAGACCGATAACGTGTCTGCCGACGATTTATAAACTCCTTACATCCATTTTGAGAGCAAAACTTAATAAGCATATTGAAGACAATAATATCATGTCTAGCTCTCAAAATGGATGTAGAAATGGGTCCCGTGGTACCAAGGAGCTTCTCCTCATTGACATATCCATTTGCCAGCAGGTTCGTAGGTTTCACAAGAATTTGTCCACATGCTGGATAGACTACAAGAAGGCATATGACTCCATTCCACATACGTGGCTCATGAGGGTGTTGGAGTTGTACAACGTCGACCCAACTCTGTGCACCTTCTTGAGGTCATGTATGAATCAGTGGAAAACAGTCCTTCGCTATCCAGGATGCGGACAGATCTTTGAGAGTGACGAACCCATTAAGATAGAGCGTGGTATATTCCAGGGTGACAGTTTGAGTCCGTTATGGTTTTGCTTGGCCCTGAATCCTTTAAGCACTTTGCTGGAAGGCTCAGGGTTGGGATATCGGTTAAGGAGAGGGGGACAAATTGTATCCCATCTACTTTACATGGATGACTTAAAGCTCTTTGCCCCCAACAATTCACATCTAATGAGGTTACTGAATCTGACTGAAATGTTCAGTAACGCCATTGGGATGGAATTTGGTGTGGACAAATGTGCAGTCATGCATGTAAAGAGAGGGGAGATTGTGGAATCGGATGGAACGCAAATATCTGATTCCACAAACTTCAGGTCCCTTTCGCCATCCGAGAGCTATAAATACTTGGGTATGTCAGAAGCGTTGGGCATCGATACTGCCGTCATGAAGCAAACGTTGCGGGAACGTTTCTTTGGCCGCCTGAGGAAAGTTCTAAACAGTCTTTTATCGGGCGGTAACAAGGTGCGTGCCTACAACGGTTGGGTCATGCCAGTACTGATGTACTCCTTTGGCATACTCAAGTGGACTCAAACGGAATTAGATACCCTGGATAGAAAAGTCCGTTCATTGCTGACTGAGCATCGGATGCATCACCCACGATCATCGGTAATGAGACTGTACATTCCACGGAAATGTGGAGGAAGAGGCTTTTTAAATGCCAAAGCCCTCCACAACAGTGAAGTATGCAGTCTCCGAAACTACTTCTTAAAAATGGAAGTGGGGATGCACCAAGATGTTGTCGCTGTGGACAAAGGACTTACTGCGCTCTCCTTAGCTAACGAGAATTGGAGAAAACCTGTAGTACTAAGCACTAAGGACCGTAAGGATGTATGGCAAAGCAAAGAGCTGCACGGACGCTACTATAGGGCTTTACATGGGCCAGACGTAGACTTCTTAGCGTCCGTATCCTGGCTACGTTTCGGCAACTTATTTGGTGAAACAGAAGGTTTTGTCTGTGCAATTATGGACGAAGTTATGCTGACGAACAATTATCGAAAATATATTATAAAGGATGGTACGGCTGACATTTGTCCATTTGGAATCCATCCGACATATAATTTCGGGTTGTTCTCACCTAGCTAATGGAGAGTACTTGCATAGACACAACCTCGTGGCCAGGATTATCCACCAGCAACTTGCTTTAAAATACAAACTTGTTGAATCTGAAGTGCCGTACTATAAGTATCTGCCTGACCCAGTTCTCGAGAATGGAGATGTCACACTGTATTGGGATCGAACTATCATCACTGATAGGACAATTGTAGCCAACAAACCTGACATTGTGATGATAGATCGATCTAGCCGTCGCACAATGATAATTGATATAACAATCCCACATGACGAGAATCTTGTGAAAGCTGAAAAAGATAAAGCAAGTAAATATCTTGATTTAGCTCATGAGATTGTCGACATGTGGGATGTAGACTCAGCAATCATTGTGCCGATAGTCGTGTCTGCCAATGGTCTCATGGCTAAAAGCCTTGATAAACACCTAAGCAGGCTTACGTTAGATGGTTGGGTCAAGAATCTGATCCAGAAAGCTGTACTTCTAGACACGGCGCGCATTGTCCGGAGATTCCTTTCTCTGGAACCCTGACCACCGGTTGCTTGGAACCCTCCCGTAACCGGTGGGATACTGCTTTTTATATTTTTAAGTGTTTTTTTTTTTTGTTTTATGAAAATATTTAAAAATGTAAAAATCAAGTTTTAAAATAAATAAAAAAAAAAATGTCAATAAATAAATAAAAAAAAATGTCAAATAAAAAATAAAATGTCACAATAGGTGATTATGTCATTGTATAAAAAATAAACGTAATGTCAAATTGTATATAAAAAATAAACGTAATGTCAAATTGTATATAAAAGTGTAACTTATGTTACAAACATGTCAACATGACCTGTCTCTCGTACTCTGGTACGCAAGCGGGGCGCGGGGTGTGTGACAACGCCGAGCCGAGTGCGTGATTGGTGCGTCAGTAGACCCTTGCCCCCCGCACTGTGTCCACGTCTCGTTCGCTCCCGAATACACTTGCGTGCCCTAAAGTTGATCTCTTTGTTTTTGTTAAGTTTAAAGTTTATTGTTTCGTTTTTGTTATAAGTTGTTGTTATTGTTTCGAATTGTTGTTGCTTTTTTTTAATTTTGCTTTTGGTTATTACAATGTGACAGGTCAGAAAAATGGTCTATGATGTGTATTGTTACATATCAAAAGAAAATCTTACTGAAAAAGAGACGGTTAAACGTTACTTTTAAATTAATTAAGGTATTTTATTTATAGCACCTAATAAATATCACGAATTAATTTCCTTACATTTAAACAGATATTGAAAATATATTATGGCAATAATCATAAAAAAATTACAATCACTAAAAGGGACCACTTTTTTTCCATTAAGTGCACGATGCGCGAACTTGCCCCCACTACTCCAACTTCTTGCCAAGTTAGGTGCCGGCTACTGTACTGCATGGAATATTTTTTTTTGCTCATTCAAAATTGCTCTTTTCCACCAGTTTGTGACGTCATGCTCTAAGCCGCCTGTCCTTGGGTTTGCTCACCTCAAGCCGCCATTCTCCATCCGATGCGTTGAAGTTGGAGACGACGAAGACACTGGGGACACAATAGGTAAACTATTTAAAAAGAAAATCTTTGTAAAAACTCAATTTTATATAAGTAACTTACGACAAATTAATCCTTTCGACAATTATATAATCTTATAATCAACACATTATAAGATAAACAAAAGAAATTCACTATGCAGCTATAGATTTAAGGCATAAATATAATAAATTCTCATGTGCATATAATGCTCCTCTGTGAACAGGAAGCGTGATCCGAGGCTTCTTCACAATAAGAAAGAAAGATCCACTGAACCGCCTACCAACATCGTCGACCTGCTTTAACCTTCTCAAGCTGCCAAACTATCAGAAACGAAGCACCCTCCGCGACAAACTCCGATATGCCGTCAATAGCAACACCGGCTTTGAACTGTCTTAATACAGAGATCACTAAAGATCATTTTCGACCGAGTTTCCGAAGGCCATTTATGGTCTGTACCATGGTATATAACTAAAACAGCATTCCGGGACACTGAGCCTAAAAAAACTGTAAAAGTCGGATATTAGATACTTTTGGTAGCTTTTCCCACTTAGAGATGGCAACCCGTTTCAATGTTATATTGCAATTTCTACCAAGTTATAATTTTATCTGTGTCAAATCGATAAATTGTTGAGATTTTCAACCTTGAATAGAAATTGTAGATTGTTTTTTTTATTTGTACAGAAATATATAAAACGGTAAAATTATATTTATGATTGTAAAATATTGTTTACTATTCAGTAGCAATTAAGACGTCAGTGGCGTCTCGGGGTGCCTCGGTATGCTAAACTTAGTGTATCATGGTCTGAACTTTTATTGACAATTTAAAATTCGAAGGAGAATTCCTTATGTGGTCCATTTACAAGAATTTTAATTGAGACAGCATTCCACAGTTACATATTTTGTATTAGGTGTTGTGTAATAACAATTAAATTAACATTAATGATCAATTAAGGTCATTTCTAGTAACTAGAAGTACTCAGTAGAGTTTGAGATTAAGATTAGTGTTGCTAGATGGAAACATTGATAAGGTTGCCTTATATTTTCAGTACATTTATCCTCAACGGAATTCTCGTAAGTGGTCCACAAATGACAACAGTCATGAAAATACCAAAATCGCAGGGTAGGAGATATATTTTATTCACAAAGACTCGACCTTCATCGAGGCCAGTGATAATGCAAATATGCGTTTCCTTTTTTTACACCAAAAATAAGAAGCTGGTCTTCTTACAAACTGCCAGTGTGGCAATATTCTCTACAACAGGTACAAATTATAAATACTCAAACGTTCTTACCTAAGCACTGGTTTGTGGCAATTTTAAACATTTTAAATCTTATGTCGCACCGAGTTTTCAATGTGGTTGCACAGCACTATTTTCACCGTTTTTAATATTTTCACGTTTTAACAAGAACTTTGTCGATCTTCAAGCCATGGTGAGGTTTATCTAGTATCATCTCAATGTGTGCTCAAACTTAAAAACTCTTAAATAAAAATGTCTTGAAGAGTCCATTCACAGTTTTGTGCACAAAAATGAAACCAAAGAAAAGGTGGAAACAGAAAGATCACTCATCACGTCTCTCCTTTCTATCTAAACTCTTCAAATTAATCGTGATGCAGCAGAACTGATATGTATAGGCTGCTCCTAAATACTTCTTTCAAATTGAATGACGATCTCAAAGAAAATGCCTAAAGCTGAGTGTACACTGCACCAACTTTTAAATTACTTTTTGTACTTTATGTACCGCAAATGCAATAATCTTTACATAGGTTGGTGCAGCGCACACCAGACATAGAGAATACGCCGCCAAATATAACGGAGTACATTGAAAAGACTAATGTAAGAAATCGGATTTGTTAAATTATTTTATAGTGTGGTAATTATGTTGCATATTATTCATAGATTAAGCTTCAGCAAAATTGTGTGTGACTGCTGCACTATAATCGATGTTAAATATTTTTTAGGCCAGTAACTTATTTTTTTAGTATCTATGACATGTATTCGATTTTAGAATTCGGATGTTATTATGGAGAACGATGAGGCCATGTGTACGGGTTTTATATTTACCTGTATCTAGCAATACTGTAGGACTTGTGACGCGCGGCATGTATTTGCCTTTTTTGTGCAAATATTCTGTGTACGGCCGCGTCAACTACAGATTAGGCCTATGTTAGTGCGAGTGTGTTTGGTAAGAGGTAATAGGAAGCCTGCATTACTGATACGAATTATATTATTGTATGTAGAACGATTGTACGTTTGTAACCTAGATCTCGTCATATACCCATAGCGTGTACAATAACAACGGTGAAAATTAATATCTAAACTGAATTCTAAATAATCCAGTCCAATGTATAAATAGGTGTATATAGACAATAACATATTAGTTTAACTTTTTAATAATAATAAACATTATTTTATTTTTCTATTTATGTACAGTTTTTGGCTTTTGTATTGTCATTTCTGAAAGATCAACAAAATTCTTAATATTCCTGTTCGTATTTTTAGGAGATTATTTTTTTGTTCTATTAGTACATACATACAATGCAAGAGTAATGTAAAATCAACGGGGCAATGCAAGAAGTGGGGAGACAAGTTAAACATTATATTAGTGTACAGTCGATTATAATAGTTTCTACAAATATGTTTATTCTGAGACATTGAATAATATTATATCTGATTGTACGAAATAAACTTGTAACCATCATTATAATGGACTGTACATTTGTTTTTATATTTTTAGTAAACTAGAGTCACTATTATTTTTGTCCGCTTAATTATTGCACTATAATATTTTAGGTCAACATGTTTTACAATTAAGGTCTTCAATAGTAATACTTTGCAATATTATCTTAGATTTTGTGTCCCTATGTGTTGTATTTATTTGTCTGTAGTTTATAACAGCATATTTTATTGTATAAAAAATATATTTCGTTGTTAATTTAGTGCAATTACTTTCAAAAAATATATATCAACATTGTATACAAGTAAAGTCTACTGCAAAGTGGTAAATGCCGGAGAATGTTTTATTGTATCTTAAATATTTAAATCACATGACATTTTTCGTAAATTTTTCTGCAGTCAGTAATCAAGTGTTGAACAAAGATAGTATTTTGTAGTAGTGTTTCCATTATAATTGAAAACTTTTAAGTATTTACTAATATATGCATAGACAAGGATCATTGTAAGGGATATTTTGTACTAGCCACGTAAATATGTTGTATAACACAATGTGATTCTCTGTGATAAAATAATTGATATTTATTATTGAGCAGTTTTATTCAAACATTTTATTTCCCATCCCCCAAAAGTGCCCAAAACTATGATCAGTAAATTTAACAGACGGCGGTTTGCTTTAAATATTACGGCGGCATCGATCCCCAACTCCAAGCCGCACGTCGAGTCGAGAGCAAGGAATATAACAAACGCACGCACCAGCAAAAATGTTGGGTTGTTGTGTAAATGAGAAAATTGATGATGATTGATGAAATAGATTTCATACTTAGAGCCGTGAATATTAACCCAGAAGTAGTCCAACAATCAATAGAAGAGAAAAAATATGTTACGAAACAATATTTTAAGACCTAATATAAAATTTTAAAAAAACAACGACTGACGTACCAACGTAAATTAACTGAGAAAAACTTTAGTTCCAAGTCCAGTCACAACGGCACACTTATTCATTTACAGAAAAGGTTTGAACGTAGAAAACATTAAAAATAATATAAAATCGAGAACCACGCGGGCAGATCCGCGAGCTACCGCTAGTATATTGTAAATTTAATTACCTACATCCAATCTTTGTTCAGAATGTTCAGATAACGTAGGCCGAGTAATTTTATACCTACTCCAAGCCAAACTTTCATACATAATAATACATATGTGCATAATGGGAGTCTCAAAAAATAAATAGGTAAATAAAGTGAATTCGTTTGAAGATATTCTCACACCACAGAAAAATCGCGTATTGTTCAATTACCTACATGTTTATAGACAACGCAAAATAGTTTTGATATTTGGCTTAAAACTTTTTGAACTTCCTGAAACATTCAGGCGTCTTGTCAAAGAAATTCGGCACCACTAGCGCCATTAAAAAAAATGAAACAAACTGTCAAGATGAAGTTTTCATTTTCAAAACTCATTAGTCGATAAGTCAATTCGAGTAACGATTATCTTAATTTAATTATGATTTGAAGTTATTATTTCGTAAACGTAATTCCAAGCATTTTTTCCACAAAAGGAATTCTTGCTGGTTGGAAAGCACAGCTGTTCGTCGCGCGTCGTCGCCATTGTTATTTTCTGTCTCTTTTTAGATCGCGTCCTCGCAACTCCCCTCTCCCCTCGTTTCAACCAGTTTCGCTCGATTTTCGTGACGGGTGGACGTCTGTGCGCGGCGTGACTTGATATTTCACGGTCTCATCCTTTGTCCAGGAAGAAGCAAACTCTACAATAACTCGTAATAACTACACAAATTCCCAGCCCAATCGTGAAATAACTGGTGTAATCTACAGGTGTTCTAACGTTCCGTGTGTTGTTTAGTGATTCCCGCATAGTCAATCGAGCATGAATAATAAAGAAGTAACCGGTGATATTGTCGTGTGTCCACTGGGAAGCGAAGGCTGGTGATCAAGCACAGTGTTGAGGCCGTAAGATTCGCCGTGTGATGAGTCTGCGGTGACGGCTCGCCGCTGAGCGGTTGGATGGCGGCTGTAAGCGGCCCCGCGCGGCACTCTCGCGTCTCCATGAGTGTGTCCATGTCGCTGATGCAGGGCGGTACGCAGAGCGCGCCGCAGGGCGCCATCCTGGCGGCAGCGGCGCCCTACTATCAGACGCCGGCCATCCCGACAGACGTGCAGCCCGACCGACCTATCGGCTATGGCGCCTTCGGTGTTGTATGGTGAGTCAATATTGTTGTTGTTTATATTTTTAAAATGCCCGCGTCTCATCCAAAACCAATTGTAGTTTTTTTTTTATTCATAAGTTTTTTACACAAAGGACCTACGTGGAAATTCGTTAAGATCTTGATTTTGAAAAGCATTCAAACCTACATATTTTAATTTGGTATCGAATAACTTTATATTTTTATATGTCTGTAGCTATTGTGTTGCGCTTAGTGGTTAGGTATTCACTGAAAATTTACGACGGGTAGCTACGTCTTCTAACTCAAATAGGACACCTTTGCGGGTAGGTAGGTTCCTATACCTTGTACTTACCCATGGACCAGGACCACCAGACTTCCTGGCATTGTCGAAGGATCTTCTGTTATATTGATATTAGACAACATTGGCGACCGCTTTAGAAATATAATTCACTAAACTAGTGACTAAATTCTCTTAAGTAATACCACGAAATTGCTGACTCGCTGAAATTTTATAATATCAATGAGCATTTCCTTCACCATCAACATTAATAATTTCTTAAACTACCTTCTTAAGGAGCTTTTTCTTAAGATTTAATCTAAGTAATGAAATACTAAGTACGAACATGTTACCCACAATAAACCACACAATCACAACACTGCAGTTGGTCCTATACCTACCTATTCATGTTTCGTGCACCAAATTCTGCAATTACTGAATTAATACAATGTCGTACTTATCGACTTGGATTTAACGACCAGTGATAGCTCAGTACTACACTTAAAAGTTTTATACGATAATGTCTAGTTAAAACTCTAAGAGTAAAATGTAGCATGTGAAACTTACCCCCACCTGCTTTAGTTCGGACAAAATATCGTTCATATTGAGCTGCTAGGTATAATTTGCTTTCTGTAGTCTCACAGCAATCTCAAGAAACAAAAGCTATCCGCACCGTTACCCTAAGTATCGTATAGTCACTACTTGAGTGCTCCTCGCCTCGTCAATAAGTAAAGCGCACTAAGCAATTATTACTGTTCGTTTTACAACCTCAGAACACGATGCAACCGTTAAACCTAGAAAGCTGCAATTCCATTTCACATCTTCCATTTTAACGAGCAGGATCGTTTATGACTTAAACAAAACCTTTTAAAACTCTTTTATTTTCGTCAATCGTCAAACTAAACAAGTTTTAAAAGTTTACAAAAGTTTACAATGCACTGAAGTTAGGCAGTTCACTAGTCTAATCTGCACCAGTTGGCTTCTGTAAACACGTGGTGTTGGTACCGGCCGGCGACGGGCATTCGATTCAGCGTGAACGACATAAGAGCGATTTTCAATATTCATGTTGCCAGCAATTGAATGCACATTGCGTCCGACGAACGAAGTCAGCACTCAGATGAAACTGTGCTTTATTGCTCACGCCTTTAGCTAGCTTTTATATTGATGGCTTCGATTTCTGTTATCGAAGCGGAGGTAGTGAACGCGTGGTTCCCTCTTGCAAGCGACATTCGTCCCTAAGCCAATGGTTCTAGGTTTGAGTGTGTAAGATCTGTGGAAGCGCCCTGAAGTAGTGCTACATTCGTGCATCGGGGTAGCGGTTGTTAGGTATGGGTGGATGCTTTGTGTCGACTCGTCGTGCGTAGGTAGGTCCCTCATGGCGCTTGCCGTGTCGATTGTGTGTGAACGACCGCGACGAGGGGAGGCACGCCTGATTATTCTGAGACTGCGTTGATCGCCGGTCGAGAGCCCTGAAACCCGCCTCGCGTCCTTCTCTCCTTTAAGCCCTACCTTGTACTCGTCCGTTGAATGCAAATACGTACTCCTAACATTAACATTTTAGTTATATTGAATCCTTTCTGAGTTTTACTTAATATATTCTGCTATCTATTAAGTAGATAGAAATCTTTTTGTTGGGATCTTTGTAATAATACTCGAGTTAAATATCATTTTCTTTAACCTGCAATTATGTAGCTTTACTCTCGTTAAAACTCATCTTCGCATGCAACGTGTTTCATCATTGCTCGACAGTGACAAGACAATCACGATAGCGCATTGTCATAACAACTCGTACGTATCTATCTAAGAATAATAGCAGTCGCATTAGAAAGCTGAACTGTTCTTCGAAAATAAAAAAAAAAACGAAAATGTAATCAATAATACTCAGTAAGTAAAAATGAATCCTGAAATCGTAAGAATCCTTTTGAATGTCTATACAACTGGAGTATCAAGTCAATCAAGATCGATCCAGATGAAGGATGCCAGAGGGGCAGAGGCTCTGTCTTCCCATTTAGAACATAAAGGACAGGACATTAGTGGAAATGGATGACTAGACTGAAATGTTAATATATATGGTTATTAAGAAATGTTTGTAAAATTAACACGCAAACAAATAACTATGTTAGTAACACTTAAAGTGCCCACTACTGAGCAAATTCCTCTTCTCACACAGAAAGATTTCAGTATTAATCACCACAGTGTGTTGGCATTTCGAACTTATACTTACACCTGGTTTCTGAAAGGCTTGTCAACGCTAAAATTAACTAATCTCCTGTTAAATCTCTTGTCAAGTCATCTGATTGGTTGTTTATAATTCAGTCAACCAATCAGATGGCTTGACAAGAGATTAAATTGATTTTAACATTGATCGGCCTTTCGGAAACCGGGTGTTAGAGTTTTAAGTTTCGGTTGTGGTCGCGATGTTTTCATTTACCGTGTGTGGATAAAACCTGGCAAAGACCACATCGGTTCTTGCCAGATTTTGAACTTGTTAATTGAACTTGTTTTTGATTTTGTTAAGTGAACGACTTCTTAACAACTAAATAACATAATGTTAACAAACTGGTAGAAATAACGTCGCAAGAGAATACTTCAGTAATGTAGACTAAAGAGAAAACGAGAAATCGTGCTGCGTCCTTGCATACACGTTCTTGGTAATTTAATATAGAGCAATATCAAGCGAGAATAACAACTTGATATTCGCGCCTGCTCGCGCTACCTGCATGCCAATTGAGGACGGGTGCTGCCAATTCCAGTTGATGAACTTATAGGTCGGAGCTAGGATGGGCACGGCCTATAGTAAATTAATTACCACAAGAGTGCGGGCTGATTGATCGGGCTGCGCGGAGCCCGCGCCGCGCCTCGGGTCGCGCCTACGATCTCCACCCTACTGGCCGTGGCTAATTGCTTCGAGCCAGTTGAAAAACTTGATCCATCCGCCTTTGTGGCGAACTCGAGGCCGAATGGAGTTGTGAACACATTGTGGGATATCCCGTCATAAAATTGAAGTCCCGAAGTACTTACAATATCGACTGTTGTGCTCAAGTTTAGACTTTTTGAGGATTTGTCAATTCATCCGAATCCTTGTTTTTGTATTCTCCTGTAAAACTACCCTTCTCACATTTTCAGCATCAAAAGCTTTTTTGTTGTCGAATTCTTAAAGGTTATTTACCTGCTACTCATCACAAGAACAAATATTCAACTACCTGGCTAAACACAGTCATCGCTACAACCAGTTTGAATAGTTTTGAAACTTATCCTCTCATATAATTGGCGTTATTTAGGTAAACTTACGTAGTTACTTTGACCAAGAAAGCAGAACAAGACAGCGGATAATGTGCCAAATATTACAGTGATAGTTCAGTCGTTTTTGTGTTTAATTTTTAAATAACTCCGAGTTTCTCTCAGCTAAATCTATGACTCGCAAGCTAAACCTTACAATTATTCTAATCGTTTCAATCGTCCATATGTCTATTGTATTAAAAGAGGTTTTACATCTCAAATCCATACATCATCATTTAATTACCACATTCTTTGCAGATATTATAGAAAAACAATACCGTTACGTTAGACAAAAGAAATATCTTCGTAATCTTTTGCATTGGTAAACATACATATTCTTTACTAATCTAGTTACTAGGTAACTGGATTTGATTCCGTAGTGTTGGTTTGACAATGATTATCTTAGTTATTCCTTAGGAATTGTATCGATAACGAAGTTGGTTGGCAATCTGCAGGAATTAGCATGATATGAGCGTGCAGATGTGTGAAGTAGACGAGATAACGGCGGCATCGTTGCGAGTACCGGCAGAGACTGGCCCGCTTACGGGTAACCGGGTCACTGGGAACTCATAGTCCGCCTGCCGGCCTATCGTGCGTGTATTAAGTGACGTGACATAATTCTGTCGTAAGAATTCCCATTAAAACGATGCACCAGTACTTTGGGGCTAAGAAACGAGATTCCATAATGATTTCTCATTAGACGAATTTCATAATATTGTCATTAAATCTAATCTATACTAGTCGGGAATTGTAACAAAATACTTTTTACTCTTTTAGACAATCCGACGTGAGGACGGTATGTAACTTTATTTGCTAATTTAAAATTGGAGTATATAAGTTATAAAAACAAGTTTGTTAAGAAACCGCAATGCTTGCGTTCATTTTCATTAGTTACGATAATCAAGGACTGGTATAATAATAAATGTTACTTTTATATTTTACTGTACGTAGTTAATTGCATTTTTGTAGTTTTATATCATTACTAGCGACCCATCCCGGCTTCACACGGGTGCATAATGATACTAAATGTCTCCATTATTTAATGGATGTTATTATACATATGTATTAGTCTTTCTCTTCAATCACTATATCAATTTAAATAGTTTCAAAATCTGTTGTGTACCTAGTTTTTAAAGCGATTCGGTTTTATACTATATTTGACTGCACGGTTGGTGCGGTGGCTGGGCAACTGGCTGCCGTGCAACGTGTCGCGGGTTCGATTCCCGCACCGAACAATCCACAAATTGTTGTTCCGGGTCTGGGTGTCATGTGTTTGTGAAATTGTATGTTTGTAACCGCAACCACGACACAGGAGAAAATCCTAATGTGGGGCAACGTTTTTTTTAAAAAAAAAGCTATGTTAAGATTGCCTCGCTTTATTTCGTCCAGATTGATATTATACAATACATACATATGTTGCACTCTCTAGTGTAAAGAGTTCAAAGTCACACTTGATAAAATTCTCTAGCGACTCCCCGCG